GCCTAGGCGGCCGCCTAGGCCGACTTTTAGAACAGTGCCAATACTTGCTCCTCAAACAATGGGATCCTAAGTGCATATAGTTCCTGGAAGAGGAGGAAAAGGTGAAACTATGGGTGCAAATAATAAACCTTCATCTACATTGGATATCAGTTGAGCATGAAAATTGGGAGGCTTATAGGCAAAGTCATGATGTTTTTGTACCTAGGTCAGACACCAGCAATACAAGGCTAGTTAAAGTCTTGGTTGAACAGAAGCTCAAAGAGCCTATTCTCAGAGGAGCTTATATCAAGTTGGGCCAAGAAAACAAGTGGGTCGACTTTAGGTATGAAATCCTCCAGAGTTCTTATTTCTACTATGGTAGAATAGGACATAAAGATAAGATTGGTCCTATTAAGAAAGAAGATGTTAGTAGAAACCTTCTTAACTTAGGGAAATATGGAGACTATCTTAGCGCACCTTTATGTAATCAGGTTGATTCTAGAACTTCAAAGCCTAGTTCCAGTGATAGCCAACCCTCAGGGGATAGGTCCTTTAAGAGCCAAAGTTCAAACCAAAGAAATGAGGCGAGTGGAGTAGAGGGTATATCAGTAGGATCTTCTAGTTTGTTAGGATTGGGTTTGGTTTCAGGAAATCTTGTTCAGTATGATCTTTTTCTTAATTCAGATAATCTGTTAAAAGAAAATTCTAAATAAAGTGGATAATCTAAAGTTCCAGAACTTTTGGCAATTCAATCTATCCCTCAAATATGTTTAGATGAACTAGTGGAAATTGATGTTAAAACTAATAATCAGGAAAGTCAAAGAGGTTTTGTTAGGAAATCTAGGGTGAATCTTTCTCAAGCTGTACTAAGTATGCAAATTGATAACCAGGACACAAAAGGAGGTCAGAACCTGAAAAGAGGGCTTGAGAAGTTAGAAGAGACTATAAACAACGACAAAGACGACATAGCTAAAAGACTGAGGGGAAGTAAGAAAGGAAATTAAGTAGTGGTTGAGGAGGTCAACCCAAAATGGCCCCAACACCCTAAATGAGGGTATGTGTCTAGAATTGTAGAGCTCTAGGGGAACCCTCTACAATTTTCCTAGACAGTGACATTCTAAGATCTCACCTCTCAGATTTTATTTTTCTTTCTGAAACTAAAAAGAAAAATAGCTATGTTGCCACTGTTGCTAATAAGTTAAAACTAAATAATAGATGGATTTGTGTGGATCCTGTTGGGTTTAGGAGAGGGTTATTTCTATATTGGTCTCATACAATTGATATCCTTCATCTTAATAGTTTTGATTTTTGTGTGAAGGTGTAATGTAAGTATAATGGGAGTGTTGATGTGCAGTGGACAATTTTCCTCTATGCTAGCACAAATATTCATGTAGATGTTTGTGTTGAGATGTGCAAAATCGGGAGAAGAAAAGGGAAAGTTGTATATTGCGATTGAAAGAGAAAATGTAAAATGTACAAGAATGTTAGGGTCTACAAAACACCCTATTTATACTAATACATAATACAAGTAAATTGCTATTAACCAAATGACAACTTTAACCTAAACTAATGAGGTACAACAAATAATGAGTAAAGTATAACTCCTAATACCCTCCCCCCCTCCCCCCGCCGTAAGAGGAGCATGTATGTTAAGCATGTTCATCTTGGGGAGTAAGTGATGGAAAGCAGGGCCTGAGAGAGCCTTGGTTAGACAATATGCCAGCTGCTCCTCTGTGTTGATATGATGGATTTGTATGAGGCCAGAGCTAATCTTCTCTCTAATGAGGTGACAGTCCAACTCTATATGCTTAGTCCTCTCATGAAAAATTGGATTACAAGCCATAGCTAAAGCTGATTTGCTCTCTGTAAACAGAGAGGCATGCAAAGTTAAAGATATACCAAGTTCATTGCTCAAGTTTATAATCCACTGAATTTCACAAGAGGTTGTGGACATAGCCCTGTATTCTGCCTCTGCAGATGACCTACTAATTGTAGGCTGTTTCTTTGACTTCCAGGAAATCAAAGAATGGCCAAGGAATACACAATAACTAATCACACTTCTTCTTGTATCAACACAAGAAGCCCAATCGCTATCAGAGTAAACATTTAAGTTTAAAGAGGAGTTTCTGTGAAAGATAATACCTTGTCCAATGGTGCCTTTTGCATACCTGAGAACCCTGTGGGCTACAGTGTGTTGTGCAGATGGTGATGACATGAATTGACTAAGTGTTTGAACAGAAAATGCAATGTCTGGTCTGCTAATAGTAAGATATAGTAATCTGCCTACTAACCTTGTGTACTCAGAGGGTCAGAAAGTGGAGTAAAAGTAGAAGAGGCAGTATTGCCAGACAGTTTAATAGTGGTATCCATGGGGGTGGATGCAAGTTTACATGCTAACATGCCAGTGTCAGTAAGGATGTCCGAAGCATACTTTTTTTGAGACATATGAATGCCATTTTCTGAATGAGAAAATTCTAAGCCAAGGATGTACTTTAACTGACCCAAATCCTTTATAGTGAAACATGCATCAAGATGTGACTTAATAAACTCAATGCTATGCAAATCATTACCTGCGAGGATGATGTCATCTACATATACCAACAAGATTGTGAAAGAACCATTAACAGTCATATAGAATATAGAACAGTCTGCAACAAACTGAGAAAATCTATAAGATAATAGACATGAGGTCAACTTGTGAAACCACTGTCTAGAAGCTTGCTTTAGGCCATAGAGGCTTTTATTTAATTTGCAAACTCTAGTATCAGTAGGATCACAGTAACCTGGGGGTGGGGTCATGTAAACATTCTCAAACAAGTCACCATGCAAGAAGACATTGTAAACATCAAGTTGGTGAATAAACCACTTATGAACAGATGCTAAAGCAATAATAAATCTGACTGTGCTAATTTTAGCCACAGGTGAAAAGGTGTCAAAGTAGTCTATACCCTCTTCTTGGGTATAGCCCTTTGCAACCAACCTAGCTTTATACCTTTCAACAAATCCATCAAAGTTGTACTTATTTTAAAAAAACCATTTACATCCAATACAATGTTTACCTTTAGGAAGTTCAATTAAAGTCCAAGTATTGGTCTGTTGAAGGGCATC